TTTCATCATATAACATATATAAAAATGCTCTCTTCATTAAAAAAAAAAATTGTTTTTTCTTCAAAATATTCGGAGCGCTACGCGAGTGAATGTAGATCTATGTTTGGACAGTTTAAGGGTTAAAACCCATGCCTCACAACCATATAAAAGTGTTGGTACCACTATACCCTGCTACTAAGTATAGTGGTACCAGCCTGATAAGGCATGTTAGAAACCTCTAAAAAGTGTTAAGGTATGAAGTGAGACTAGTCCCATAACTAATGGAAATGAGCTATGAGTAGAGTTAATTTTTTAATTAGAGTATGACTAGCAGAGGGAGGAGAGGCAGCAGATGAGGGTGCAAATACAGAAAGAAGGGCACATGTAACAAATAGAAAGTGAGATGATTGGCCTGCCACTCTTGGTTAGGAGTAGGTACAGGCAAGCCCTGCTTTACAGTGTTTTGCTATTAAAGTCTTTTTCAGTTATACCCATTCTTCATTTATTTAGACTCCCTCTAATAAATATATTCACCACTCACTAAGCTAAGGATGAAAATATTTTAAGGTAAATAATATGTGTATACTCTATATGCATTTTTTAGGCCTATCTATATTGCTCATTTAATATATGATAGTGTATACATGTTATCAGGCTTTTATATATTTTGAAAGTGAAGAAAGGCTATGATTCACTTTACAGCAATTTTTGTTTTACAACAGTAGCCCAGAACCTAACCTGCACCCCTGCTTTTTACTGGGTATATCTTGCACTTTCATATCTCTCACTCTAGTATGTGATGACAGTGGACAGATTTAAGACAAGGCCCTCAAGTACTTTCCAGGTATATATTATTATGTATCTCTCCTCCATGTCAGTGAGTACATATTTAAGGCTAACACATTCCCAGTAATTTGAATGCTATATTGGTTTTATGCAGGCCATTAACAGTCTCTGTATCTGTTTCAACTCACATATTTCTCCTGCCCAGAATGACCTCCCAGTTTCATATAGAGATATTCCATTCTCAGATTATAACTGTCTTCGCAACTACAGTGGACCCCCGCATAACGATGGCATCGCATAGCGATTTTTCCGCATAACGATTACTTTTATCGCAAAATTTTTGCCCCGCATACCGATTAAAAACCCGCATACCGATTTTCGTCCGAGACGCGTCCAATGTGCCCTCACATGTGCCGGCCGTCCCATTGTTTACCAGCCAGCCTCCGCGGTAACATCCAAGCATACACTCGGAATATTTCATATTATTACAGTGTTTTCGGTGGTGTTTCTGGAAAATAAGTGACCATGGGCCCCAAGAAAGCTTCTAGTGCCAACCCTGTGGTAAAAAGGGTGAGAATTAGTATGGAAATTAAGAAAGATTTTGAAGGGTTTGGGGCTAACCCTGAGAAGCCTATGCCAGTTGTGGAATCCATTGTGCCTACTTCAAAGATTAAGGAAATGTGTGCAGAGTGGTTTGAACTGCAAACCTTTATAGATGAAAATCACCCTGACACAGCTGTTGCAAGCCGTGCTTGTGACTATTTCAATGACAATGTTATGGCCCATTTTAGGAAAGTCTTGAAGAAACGGGAGGTACAGAGCTCTATGGACAGATTTGTTGTGCGACAGAGGTCCAGTGACTCTGAAGCTGGTCCTAGTGGCATTAAAAGAAGAAGGGAAGTAACCCCAGAAAAGGACTTGCTACCTCAAGTCCTAATGGAAGGGGATTCCCCTTCTAAACAGTAAGAAGATAATGCTCTCCCCTCCTCCCATCCCATCAATCATCACCAGATCTTCAATAAAAGTAAGTGTCATGTAATTGTGCATGCCTTTTTCAGTTTGTGTGTATTAAAATTAACATTTCATGTGGTAAAAAAAATTTTTTTTCATACTTTTGGGCGTCTTGCACGGATTAATTTTATTTCCATTATTTCTTATGGGGAAAATTAATTCGCATAACGATTATTTCGCATAACGATGAGCCCTCTTGCACGGATTAAAATCGTTAACCGGGGGTCCACTGTATTGGCAACACCATTGGTCCATTATGACTCATAACAAATTATATTCCATCAAGCCAAGTTTAGGTGTCTGGCCTTCTTATCATTGATGCCAAGACTTGGGGACTATGTAATATATGTACATATATCAATTGATACTAAGAAACAGCCAGTAAAACCACAAAAGATGCTCTAGAAAATGCCTCAAAATCTCTATTTTAACCCTTTGACTGTCGAGACCCCTGCTCACAAACTTGCTCTTAGTGTCAAAGAATTTAAAAAAAAAATATTTTTCTTATGAAATGATAGAGAATCTTTTCCCGATGGTAATGGCACCAAAAGTACAAAATTTGATTGAAAACTTATGGAATTACACTGTCACAAAGTAAGCAATCTCGGCGATATTTACGCATCGGTGATTTCGTCCACTTTGAGCCCTATTTTCAGCCAATTCCAATGTTCCAGTCAACCAAACTCATAGCTATTTCTTTAGAACTCCATTTGTTCTATCGATTGAGTACAAGAAATCGCCAATTTACCGATTTCAAGTACCCGATAGTGTGATCAGAAATTGGCAATTTGGCCAATTTCACACAAATTAAAAAATATGCCAATTTCAAAATAGGGTCCAGAATGAACAATGCAGACATTCCTGGCACTAAAATAACGTTTTCTTTGTTCATCAGTCATGTCTCCAGGCCGTTCTTATATTACTATTGCTTTCTATTTTGAATTTTTATTCACACAAAAAAATAGAAGATTTACTGTTATGCAGACTACTGCATTATTGTAATAATTGTATAAATAATGTCAACCCATTTGTGACTGTGTATTAGGATGGCTAGTTGGACACTTATTGGACAGTGACATCATTTGTTTACTCTTGAACATCGGCAAAAATCGAACATTTCCGCTACTTTGAGCTCAACTTCAAGGTCTTTTTCATCTTGAAACCAATCAAAATCATCTCAATTTCTGTAATATGTCTTCCATTCTATCAAATGAGACCAAGAAAACGAGAATACAACTATAAATACTGTGCGAAAATGCACCTCAAAGTCGGTGTTTTAATCCATAAACATGGTTGGAGTTTTTTTTTTCTCATTATGTACTGTGTGCTGCAGGACTTTTTTTTATACTGCGCACTCTGACCACACAGACCCCTTCTCTCACATGTGGGCCTACCAGCTTTCTCCCACTTGATTTGAAGCTGCTAGAATTTTGGAGTATACTGTAAATACGTCAAAAACACTGGCTCGTAAGACGTATATATACATCAGAAATGGTCAAAGGGTTAAACCAAACACAATGTCAGAGGTTTGCCTTTTCTCATCATGCATTGCATGAGGCAGATTTTTTTTTTTTTTTTTTTTTTTTTTTTTTTTTTTTTTTTTTTTTTTTTTCTTTGTGTGTGTGTGTGTGTGTGTGTGTGTGTGTGTGTGTGTGTGTGTATTGTGCACACCCACCGTACAGCCTCATTGTCTCGAGTCTAGGCCAAAATTTACCGCTCAAAGCATATTTAAGGGTGCTGTGCTCAATATGTAGATCTTTGTACAATACAGTGAAATTTCTTCCTTTTCCTTCACACTTCATATGGCTCATCCAATACCCTTACCACACCCACTAACTTATACTCACATCCTTCCCACACCCCTCTACAACTCACACCTACATCCTTCCCACACCCCTCTACAACTCACACCTACATCCTTCCCGCACCCCTCTACAACTCACTCATATCCTTCCTATGGCCCTCTACAGCTTACACCTACATCCTTCCCACACCCCTTTGCAACTCACACTTACATCCTTCCCACACCCCTCTACAACTCACACCTACATCCTTCCCACACCCCTCTACAACTCACACCTACATCATTCCTATGCCCCTCTATAACTCACACCTACATCTTTCCTACATCCCTCTACAACTCACACCTACATCCTTCCCACACTCCTCTACAGCTCACACCTACATCCTCCCCACACCCCTCTTCAATTCACATCTACATCCTTCTCATCCTTACAAATCATCATATTTTACACACCACACACATTCACATACCCTCTACTGGTACCTGAACCATTTCACATTTAATGTTGACAAATGCAAAGTTCTAAATGTTGGACAGGTAAATAACCATGCCACATATAAACTAAATAATGTAGATCTTAATACTACTGATTGCGAAAAGGATTTAGGAGTTCTGGTTAGCAGTAATCTAAAACCAAGACAACAGTGCTTTAGGGTTCGCAATAAAGCTAACAGAATTCTGGCTTCATATCTAGAAGTATAAATAATAGAAGTCCTCAGGTTGTTCTTCAACTCTATATATCCTTGGTTAGGCCTCATTTAGACTATGCTGCTCAGTTCTGGTCACTGTATTACAGAATGGATATAAATGCTCTGGAAAACGTACAGAGGAGGATGACAAAGATGATCCCATGTATCAGAAATTTTCCCTATGAGGATAGACTGAGGGCCCTGAATCTGCACTCTCTCGAAAGGCATAGAATTAGGGGGGATATGATTGAGGTGTGTAAATGGAAAACAGGAATAAATAAAGGGGATGTAAATAGCGTGCTGAAAATTTCCAGCCAAGACAGGACTCGCAGCAGTGGTTTCAAGTTGGAAAATTTCAGATTCAGAATGGATATAGGAAAGCACTGGTTTGGTAATAGAGTTGTGGATGAGTGGAACAAACTCCCTAGTACAGTTATTCAGGCTAAAACGTTGTGTAGTTTTAAAAATAGGTTAAATAAATACATGAGTGGGTGTGGGTGGGTGTGAGTTGGACCTGACTAGCTTGTGCTGCTGGGTCTGGTGCAGTGCTCCATCCTTGAGTGGAGATGATCAGACTGGGTGGGTCTTTGGGCTAATCCGGGGGGGGAGGTCATTGGGCTAATCCCGGGGGGGGGGGCATGGACCTGCTCCGCATGGGTCAGTAGGCCTGTTGCAATGTTCCTTCTTTCTTATGTTCTTATGTTAATATTTGACTTTTTATTTATTTTCAGGTTACAGGATTACAATCGGCATCTTCTGACTCCTTTTGGAATGGACAGTGCCCGAGGACTTAATGGCATTTGGCCAAAGTACGATCTTAAACACGTAAGCGAATCTGTCAGAAAAATGATTCCAAATCCCATTGTGATGAAGCTTTGATGCATGTTTGTAGAGGAAGCAGTGCATCTCGATGGTGCTGTGAGGCAGTATTTTTTTTTTTCTTTTTCTTTTTTCTTTTTTTTTCAAATATTTTATTTGTTTTAAACATCTTAATCTTCTCTGGTATTCTCTCTTTCCCACCTAACATTAAAATATTTGTGGCATTTTGTGTAATCTTTATCATTCCAAGTTATTGGTTTACAGTATTCCAGGTAATATGTATATTTTCACTGCATTTCCTTCTATTGAACAGAAGGATTCTTATGTTTAATAGTGTTCTTTGTTAAACTGCAACTGCACATAACTTGGGCATTGCAAAAATTATTATATAATTTTTATAAGAAATTTCACTTGTGTAATGTATTTTTGTAAATCAAAGTTTGTCTTTTAACACTCATAGTATCCCTTCAAATGTATTTAAACTGATTGAACCATGATTTTGGGTCGTGCCACTTATCGCAGTTGGTCCTCATCTCCATACCCCTTCTTCCTTCATGTGTAATTTTGTGTGTAAAAATTAAAAAAAAAAAAATCCTCTTTATTGAAATAGGAAAATTGAGTAACTAGTTTTCATTCTTAACTTTATTATTTTTGACCATTCAAAAGAGTTTGTTTAAAACTCGGTTACAGCTGGCTTAATCTTCAAAACTAGTCCATTTTACTTGGAGCCGATGCACAAACCATTATTTGTCTTTATTCAGCCCAAATCTTGTCTAAGCAAGACTATGGAGACAGTATGGTATATTCATCAGATTAGTCATCTACTTTTAATTAACTTAAAACTATTTATCATCAGGGATTATGCTTACATCTAGGAGCTTTTTTATCTTTCCCAAATGAGGCCCTGTATAGAAAGGCAAACATCCCTTTTCTTTTTCACTTCCATTCAACGAACCTCTTGCATATGGAATGGTCACAGATGTTAGCAAGTTTTATTTTGTCGGTTTTGTTTATGATGACCATTTAATTTCTGTGTTCAGACTCAAATAACCTCTCTTACTTTATCACCTTCATACATTCGTCCCATATCCTATTTTTTCTGTACTTCGTTGAAAGTCCCAGTTTTTCAGGATTGTTCCTCTTCCCTCCCATGCCCAAAGGTTTACATTCCTGCTACGAACTCTCACTCTTCACATTTAGATTCTGTGGCATTGTACACTAGCAGCTCCAGATCCCCTATTTTTTACAAATAGAGTAATCCAAAGGCATTTTCATATCAGAGTTATATGCAAAGCTCAACTCCATGGGGAAGTGGAACAGAATTCTTCCTCTGTAAGCCATGCGCGTCGTAAGAGGTGACTAAAATGTCAGGAGCAAGGAGCTAGTAACCCCTTCTCCTGTATACATTATACATTACTAAATTTTAAAAAGAGAAACTTTCATTTTTCTTTTTAGGTCACCCTTCTCAGTGGGTTACGGCCAGCTCATTGAAAAAAAAATACAGAACTCAATGCTATTATACACGTTGCAACTATGTTTACCCCTTCATTATTGTTTTAGACTAAGAAAGGTCATTACAAGCTATGAAGAAGAATGTCCCCCCACATCCCATAGTACAATGTATGTAACTTTGGTTACACTGCATTACTAGGAAACATACACAAATTATTTGGTTGCTGGGTCCTTCGAGACTTGGGAGGAATCACTGACAATCATAATAACAATCACAAAAACTCACCCAGTCACTCCACCATTTGTCATCTATCAATCTTCCACTGAAGGGGTACCATTTTAAGACAACTTTCCAATAATTTCTCTTCAAAATTAGGTTGGAGCATAACAAATTGTTCTCCATTAAACCATGATTATATTCCTGGCTATCTTTCCACTGTTGTTGTTTGTGGGAAACTACTATTATATGAGTGTAAAGTGGACATATGGATACATCATTAACCCTTTGGGGGTCGCCAGGCCCTCTCAGAGACTTGTTCTCAGGGTTGCCAAAATTTAAAAAAAAAAATTATTTTCTCTTATGAAAAGATGGAGAATCTTTTCCCTATCATAATGACACCAAAAGTATGAAATCTGATGGAAAACTTATGGAATTATGGTCTTGTGAAGTTAGCGGTCTCGATGATGTTTACGCATCGGCAATTTTGCCCACTTTGAGCCCTATTTTCAGCCAATTCCAATGTACTAGTCGACAAAAATCATAACTATTTTGCTAGAACTCCATTTTTCCTATCGAATGAGTACAAGAAACCACCCATTTACCAATTTCAACTATCCAATAAAGTGGTCAGAATTTAACAATTTTGCCAATCTCACACAAATTTCAAAAGATGCCAATTTCCGAATAGGGTCCAGAATAAACAAGAAAGACATTCCTGGCACAAAAATAACAAGTTCTCTGTTCGTCAGTCACATCCCCAGGCCCCTCTTATATTTCTTTGGCTTTCCAAAGTCGCTGTTTTATTCCAAAAACATGGTCAAAGTTTTTTTTCTCATTACGCACTGTGTGCTGCAGGATTTTTTTTATACTGCGCACACTGACCACGTAGACCCATTCTTTCATATGTAGGCCTACCAGCTTTCTCTCACTAGATTTGAGGGCTCTAGAATTTAGGAGTACTAGTACGTCAAAAACCCTGGGGCGTAAGCCGTACTAGTATGGCCGAAACCCCCAAAGGGTTAAGGGATGCCTAATGCCTTTCTGCGAAGACTGTCCTATCTGTCAGGTCATGTAGAATCCACTTTTGACATCTACAATTCTCAGACTTACTCTCACTAACTGCTTTTTGCTCCTCATATGGGTCCCATCTTCAAAACAGACTCACTCTGTGACTAGCAACAATTAACCTATTACATAAACTACGATATTTTTTTTTTTTTAACGCATTGGCTATTTCCCATTGAGGCAGGGTGACCCGAAAAAGAAGAAATGCTTTCATCATCATTGACTCCATCACTGTCTTGCCAGAGGCATGCCAACATTACAGTTCAAAAACTGCAACATATCGACACACTTTCAGAGTGCAGACACTGTACTTTCCACCTCCAGAACTCAAGTCTGACTAACCAGTTTCCCAGAATCCCTTCATAAGTATTACTTTTCTCACACTCCAACAGCACATCAAATTATAAAAACCACACACAAAACCTCCTTTACCCTCTCCCTCCAACCCTTCCGAGGATGACCTCTCTCCCTGCCGTCCTTCCACCACAGATTTATACACACTCCAAGTCATTCTATTTTGTTCCATCCTCTTTAAGTGTCAGAACCATCTCAACAACCCCTCCTCAGCCCTCTGGATAATACCTTTAGAAACCCTATACCTAATCTTCAAGCAACATATTCTCTGCAATAATATTCACTCCATGAATTGTCCTCACACTACATCTTCACTGCCTCCAGCCTTCTCCTTGTTACAACATTCATCACCCATGCCTCACACCCATGTAAGAGCATTGGTACCACTATACTTTCACACAGTCCCCTCTTTGCTTCCATGGATAACATTTTTTTATCTCTACAGATTCCTCATTACACCACTCACCTTTTTTTCCCCTGTCAATTCTGTGGTTCACCTCATCTTACATAGACCCATCTGCTGACAAGTCCACTCCCAAATATCTGAAAACATTCACTTCCTCCATATTCCCTCCAATCTGATATCCAATCTTTCATTACCAAAATTTTTTTATCCTCATTACCTTGCTCTTTCCTATGCTCACTCTTAATTTCCTTCTCTTACGTACCCTCCCAAATTTGTTCACCAGCTTCTCTTCAGAATCTCCCTAAAGCAGTGTCATCAGCAAAAAGCAACTGTGACAACTTCCACTTTTTGTTAGATTCTTTATCTTTTAATCCCACACTTCTTTCCAACACCCAAGCATGATGTGTTTTTATTGTTCATTTTCTTGTAATCCCTAATTCTACTAGCCCCCATAAACTTTACATACTCATCACAATAGCACTCTGACCCATGAAAGTTTAGCACTTTTTTTTTTATACCATATATAATAATAATATGTCCAAGAGAATAAATAAAAGTACAAATATTGTACTCCAATCATTTAATAGGAAAGGTAGCATTTATGAAGTATCATGAAAGGATTTAGGGAAACTGATTAGCAAGACTTGAATTTTGGAAGTGGAAAGTACAGCACCTGCACTCCATAAATGGAGCTGTTGTGGCTCAGTCACCTGAATTGTTTTGTTTGCACACTTCAATCAAGACTGCTATCGAATCGGTGATGGTGAATGTGTTTCCTTATTTGGATTACCGTATCTTAGTGGGAATATCAGCTGTAGTAAAGAAAATGGAAAGTACAGATCATTTATTTTGATGCTAACGTTAATAGTTAATGTATTAATAATATGAAGGTTATTTAGGCAACTTGCAGGCCTGGTTGTCAATCTTATGAGTCCTGGGAGAAGCACAGGAATACATGAGTAAAAAATTAAATTAATAATCCACCCCCACTCAGATTAAAGTTTCTAATAATCAGTTTGAACTAACTGAATCTGAAGCATTTAGTTCCTTTGTTAATGTGTTTAAAAAAGATTACCATAAATAAAATCAGTGTAAGCAGATAAATTACTTGGAGCATATCTGGATTAATGGTATATACCACATCTTAATTTTTCCTAACATGTAACTGTAGTAAGAAATTTCCTGAACAGTTGGCAGGAAAATTAAATGTTTTCATATAATAGAAGGCTTGGTATGTACTGAAAGTATGAAATAATACAGGAATATGTTGTGTTAAAGAATATCTGTATATACTCTTACTGTTTTGAGGACAAGAAGGTTCTAGTATACTGGAAGTAGTCTTACTATTACATTGGACTATATATTTTAGAGGTTTGTTTTTGCACTTAATTTCAAAGTATATTTTTTTTAAGTATTTTCTTGTTATTCCCCCATTAAGTAACCCTTTTAGGTTTAGTGCTTAATTTGATTACTGATATATTATTATTATCCTCCATTAAGTATTCAGTCACTATTCAGCAAGTTAATTTGAGCAAATGTAAGTAGTTTAGAATTCAAATACAGCATATTCGACTACAGATAACTCAAGAATAAATACTGAACTCACATAAATTAAGGTTAAATTATATTTCAAGTCTTTGTGATAACAACCATTAACTATAGTAATTTACAAAAAAAAAAATCCCCAATGAATGGTAAACAGGAATGTAAAAATCTGTACGTTACTCTACATCCAATCTCAATACTGTAGTTTCATTTTATGCTGTATGTACTTAAATCACAGATAATAGTATTTATGTAGATTTGATATATTTAGATAAATGCATATTACATAAAATATTTTTTTATATTTTCAGAAGTAATTGCAATATTTTCAAGTTATCATGTACAGTTAGTTAATTGTAGTGTATAAAATGAAGACAATAAGTTATCTTTGTAACTACTGTATCATCTTACCTCAGCATGAGTGATCCTACATAAAAACAAGCTACCTATGTTCTCAAAGTTCAATAAATATGTGTAATACAGCAAACCTCAATTAGTACGAATGTGAATAGTACGGAATTCGATTTGGTATAAATTATAAAATTATAGCAGACCATATTTAACACAGATCAAAAGTCATGCCACAGCTTGTTATCTTGCACATGTTTATAGTGCTACATTATATTTTATTATTTTTTTTAACATGTCGGCACTCATCCCACAAAGTTTATGCAGTCCTGATATTATATTTTAAATTTTGATAAAGTACCCTTGGCAAATTTGAACAAATGGAAAAATACTTATAGTACCAATAATGCAAATGCAAAAAAAAAAAAAAAAAAAAAAAAAAAAAGAGGTTTGTTTACATTAGCATCTCTTTGGGTCTCTTTACAGCAGTGAAAGAAAATGGAGTTCATATGTAAACTGAAGAAACTTTTATTGCAAGCAGTGGTTGATTTGACTGTTTTAGAAATTGAATTTAGTTGTTAAAATTACTGGCACATCTGCCAGTGCAGATAAAGCTGTTGTTGAAGAAGTAACAGACATTAGACAGCAGCTTAGTTTCCATGAACTGTACTACAAATGTCCATGACTTACTTGAATCAGAATTGGAAGAAATAACCAATGGAGATGTTATGTAGATCAGCAGTAAAAATGTAATAATGTTTGTCTGACATTTTTGGGTTATTCTGGTGAGTAATTTATGCATGTTTCTATGTATGATACTTATGTACCTGTACACAAATACAGTATTTACATTGGAGTGGGAACAGTTACCATACATTTTGTTATAACAGCTTCGAATAGTACGAATTCAATTAATATGATTGTTTATCGGGATTCATTATTCGTGCTAATCAAGTCTTTGCTGTATTTTATAAATACATTCTGTACTTGTATATAAAAAAAGCTATTTTGAGAAGAGTAAACTGTTGTGATTTGTATATGCATTTCTGCTGTATTTTGAGGCAGTTTTTAAATTTTGTTTGTTTATAATACTCTGTATTTACACTGGGGTTGAATTATGTAACAGTGTTAATCAGAATGAATATTGCCTAATGGACAGATATACTCTGATGAAATTTCAAAAAAGTAATGTTCCATGTATAAGTTTACAAATTAATATAGCTTATTTGAATAAAAATTGTGTTTCTCTTCCTTTAACATGAGCACAATTCAAGATATAACCACTTGACTAGAAGTTTTCTTAGCACCCTTTCACAAATGTGGTTGCACTGTATGACTGTAGGTTTAGCATTTCTTTTTTGATTATAATAATTCACAAATGTGGACAACATTCAGGGCAATTCTATGTCCTTGTTTTAAAGTGCTCAGCTAGTCACTTAGGAGAATTGTCTATATCCCTCCTACATAATCTTGTCTCTTTACAGTTGTCTATATCCCTCCTATATAATCTTGTCTCTTTACAGTTGTCTTCACCTTTAGGTCTCATACTAATATACTTTCTTCAGGTAGTAAGCAAGCCTAAAACAGCAGCCTTGTCATGGTGATGGATTTTCATTGCTCCAATGACCTATAGGCATCGTAGGTGTACTCACCTAATTGTACTCACCTAATTGTGGTTGCAGGGGTCGAGACTCAGCTCCTGGCCCCGCCTCTTCACTGATCGCTACTGGATCCTCTCTCTCTCTGCTTCCTGAGCTTTGTCATACCTCTTCTTAAAACTATGTATGGTTCCTGCCTCCACTACTTCACTTGCTAGGCTATTCCACTTGCTGACAACTCTATGACTGAAGAAATACTTCCTAACGTCCCTGTGACTCGTCTGAGTCTTCAGCTTCCAGTTGTGACCCCTTGTCCCTGTGTCCCCTCTCTGGAACATCCTATCTCTGTCCACCTTGTCTATTCCCCGCAGTATCTTGTATGTCGTTATCATGTCTCCCCTGACCCTTCTGTCCTCCAGTGTCGTCAGTCCGATTTCCCTTAACCTTTCCTCGTACGACATTCCCTTGAGCTCTGGGACTAGCCTTGTTGCAAACCTTTTACTTTCTCTAGCTTCTTGACATGCTTGACCAGGTGTGGGTTCCAGACTGGTGCTGCATACTCCAGTATGGGCCTAACATACACAGTGTACAGTGTCTTGAACGATTCCTTATTAAGGTATCGGAACGCTATTCTCAGGTTTGCCAGGCGCCCGTATGCTGCAGCGGTTATTTGGTTGATGTGTGCCTCCGGTGATGTGCTCGGTGTTATGGTCACCCCAAGGTCTTTCTCCCTGAGTGAGGTCTGTAGTCTTTGTCCACCTAGCCTATACTCTGTCTGCGATCTTCTTTGCCCCTCCCCAATCTTCATGACTTTGCATTTGGCTGGATTGAATTCGAGAAGCCAGTTACTGGACTACATGTCCAGCCTCTCCAGGTCTCTTTGCAGTCCTGCCTCATCCTCGTCCGATTTAATTCTTCTCATCAACTTCACGTCATCTGCGAACAGGGACACTTCAGAGTCTATTCCTTCCATCATGTCGTTCACATATATCAAAAATAGCACTGGTCCTAGAACTGACCCCTGTGGGACCCTGCTCGTAACAGGCGCCCACTGTGATACCTCTTCACGTACCATGACTCGTTGCTGCCTCCCTGTCGGGTATTTCCTTATCCATTGCAGTGCCCTTCCTTTTACGTGTGCCTGATCCTCCAGCTTCTGCACTAATCTCTTGTGGGGAACTGTGTCAAAGGCCTTCCTGCAGTCTAGGAAAACGCAATCTACCCAACCCTCTCTCTCGTGTCTTACTTCTGTTACCTTGTCATAAAACTCCAGGAGGTTTGTGATACAAGATTTGCCTTCCATGAACCCATGCTGGTTTTCATTTATAATCTTGTTCCTTTCCAGGTGTTCGACCACTCTCCTCCTGATAATCTTCTCCATGACTTTGTACACAATACATGTCAGAGACACAGGTCTGTAGTTTAGTGCCTCGTTTCTGTTTCCTTTCTTAAATATGGGGACTACATTAGCTGTCTTCCATTTCTCAGGTAGTTGCCCAGTTTCAAGGGATGTGTTGAAGATTGTGGTTAGAGGCACACACAGCATCTCTGCTCCTTCTCTAAGGACCCATGGGGAGATGTTGTCCAGTCCCATCGCCTTTGAGGTGTCAAGGTCACTTAAGAGCTTCTTCACCTCCTCCTCAGTTGTTCGTATGTCATCCAACACTTGTTGGTATATTCCCTCTTAATGTTCCCTTCTGTGCTGTCTTCCCACAGCCCTTCCTGTCTCTACTGTAAAAACTTCCTTAAATCTCCTGTTCAGCTCCTCACATACCTCCTGATCATTTCTTGTGAGTTCTCCACCTTCTGTCCTTAATCTGATCACCTGGTCTTTGACTGTTGTCTTCCTCCTAATGTGGCTATACAACAGTTTCGGGTCAGTCTTGATTCTTGATGCTATGTCATTTTCATACTGTCGCTGGGCCTCCCTCCTTACCTGTGCGTACTCATTCCTGGCTCTGCGACTGATCTCCCTATTTTCGTGTGTTCTCTGCTTTCTGTACTTTTTCCATTCTCTATTGCACTTTGTTTTTGCCTCCTTACACCGTCGGGTAAACCAGGGGCTTGTTCTGGTCTTCCCGTTGTTACTGTTGCCCTTGGGAATGAACCTTTCCACTGCCTCCTTGCATTTTGTTGCTACATATTCCATCATTTCATTTACTGGCTTTCCTGCCAGTTCTCTGTCCCACTGGACCTCCCACAGGAAGTTCTTCAACCCTGTGTAGTCCCCTCTTTTATAGTCAGGCTTTTCCCATTCTACTCCTGTTATTCTCTCCACTTGCAGCTCTACTATGTATTCAAAGCACAGAACCATGTGGTCGCTAGCTCCTAGGGGACTCTCATACTTGATGTCCTCAATGTCTGAGCTGCCCAGGGTGAACACAAGGTCCAATCTTGCTGGTTCATTCCTCCCTCTCACTCTGGTAGTGTCCTTAACATGTTGGTGCATGAGGTTTTCCAGCACCACGTCCAACATCCTGGCTCTCCATGTTTCGGGACCCCCATGTGCTCCAGGTTTTCCCATCAATCTCCCTGTGGTTGAAATCCCCCATAACCAGCACTTTGCTCTGCTGGAGTGAGCTCTTCTTGCACCTCAGCAAGTGTGTCCACCATTGCTCTGTTGCTCTCTTCATATTCCTCTCTTGGCCTCCTGCAGTTCTGTGGTGGATTATACATCACTGCAATGACCACTTTGTGTTCCCCAGACTGAAGTGTACCTGCTATGTAGTCTCTTTCTCCCGTCTCATCTATTCCTTCCATTTTCTCGAATTTCCATCTGTTTTTTACGAGCAGAGCAACCCCCCACCTCCCCCCTGCCCCTTCTATCTTTCCTCATGATCTGGTATCCTGGTGGGAAGATTCCATCTGTTATTGTCTCCATGAGTTTTGTTTCTTTAACTGCTATGATGTCTGGGACTTCTCATTGATTCTTTCTTGCCATTCCTCATGTTTAATTCGTTAATCCATCTGCATTTGTGTACCAAACCTTCAACTTCTGTTCTAATACTGTAACTGTGGTGCGGGGGTGGAAACAGAGGGATCGGTGTGTGATGGTTGGTTTGGATTGTTCAGTTGCCTTGGGGGTGTCGTGGCTGGAGTCCTTCTGCAGGTGTTTCTGGGGGGTGCGCTTGTCCTTCCATTTGATCCTGGGTTATTCTGCTCTCCTTTTTCATTTCCTCCCATTTCTCCTTTCGTTTTTGAACTCTCTCTTTCATTGTCTTCCTTTCGTCCTGTGTTCTGTCTCGGTCGAGGTACACACTTCGGAACTCCTGCTTGCCTCTCAGCCGTGCTTTCTCCTGCAGGATCATGGTTCGGGTTGATTCTGCCTTGAAAATTACTTTGAGAGGCCGATGTACCCTTGTGTAAGAATGGTGGATAAAGCCTTTCTTGCCACATTTGCTGCTGGTAAGGATTCAACATATACTGTAGTACCTTAACCCTTGACTGTTTCGGTCGTATATGTACGACTTACGAGGTACCGTGTTTGACGTATATATACTCATAAATTCTAGCGGCTTCAAATCAAGCAGGAGAAAGCTGGTAGGCCCACATGTGAGAGAATGGGTCTGTGTGGTCAGTGTGCACCATATAAAAAAAATCCTGGAGCACACAGTGCAAAATGAGAAAAAAACTGACCGTTATTTTAATTAAAATTCCGACTTTGTGGTCTATTTTCGTATAGTATTTATGGTTGTATTCTCGTTTTTCTTAGTCTCATTTGATAGAATGGAAAACATGTTATAGAAATAGAGGCAATTTTGATTGATTTTACTATAAAAAGGACCTGGAAATGGAGCTCAAAGTAGGGGAAATGTTTGATTTTTGCCGATGTTCAAAAGTAAACAAATGATGTTGTCCAATAAATGTCCAACTAGCCATTCTAATAAGCAGTCATGAATGGGTTGATGTTATTTATACAATTATTACAGTATTGCAGTAGTCTGCATAACTGTAAATCTTCTATTTTTTGATTGAATAAAAATTCAAAATAGAAAGCAAGAGTAATATCAGAGGGGCCTGGAGACGTGACTGATAAATGAAGAAAATGTTATTTTAGAGCCAGGAATGTCTGCATTGTTCATTCTGGACCGTATTTTGAAATTGTCATAATTTTTAATTTTTGTGAAATTGGCCAAATTGCAAATTTCTGACCATGTTATTGGGCAGTTGAAATCGATAAATGGGCAGTTTCTTGTACTCAATCGATAGAAAAAACAGAGTTCTAAAGAAATAGCTATGAGTTTGGTCGACTGGAACAATGGAATTAGCCGAAAATAGGGCTCAAAGTGGGCAAAATCACCGATTTGTAAATATTGCCGAGGTCGCTAACTTCGCTAGAGCGTAATTCCGTCAGTTTTCCATCAAATTTTGTTTTTTTTGGTGTCATGACAATCGGGAAAAGATTATCATTTCATAAGAAAATTTTTTTTTTTTTTTAAATTTTGCCACACCAGGAGACACCTCAGGATTGGGGGTTGCGACAGTCAAGGGGTTAATGGGTCATTGATCCTTCATGAAGTGCTCTTGATTCAAGGAATTGATCTTTTCACACTTTCCTTAGCTCAAACCATCTTTCTTCCCTTTTGATCTAAAAGGTGGGACATTTTCTCATTCATGTGGCTTATGGTTTGTGATTTGG